TGGACGATCGTATTATAATATTCTTGGTGTGGTGTTTTTAAAATGTATGACATAAACCATACCCTTTGTATATGGAATTGAACATTGTAAAATAATACGAACAGCTATTAAATAAGATGGTTTTGATGCTTTGGATCCCATTATTGCCCGGTGGGAGCTCCCGGTGGGCATACCGGTAGCTCCGACATAGCCGACGCGTTCGACAACGACGACGACGACTTCATCATCATTGCGACCTTGTCCTTGCTGCTCGTCCTCCTGCCCGAGAGCCGCCATCGTGGCCTCTTCCGCGCGCAAATGGACTGGGCGGTCGACAGCTCAAGACTAATTCAAGCACGAGAGTTTGCGGGTACTCTTGGCATGCTGCCGCGCTCATTGTATTGCATTTTGGCGCCAATTGCGTGGGCTCTGGCCGCTCATTCGAATGCTGTTGTGCATCGCAGCCGTAATGCAATGACATGCCCTTTTCGCACTCGGTCATTGGTTGAGCAAGCACATGGTAAATTACTGTTAGGTTCACACCCATTTTGAGGTGCCATGGCTTGGTGCCATGGCACCGCCCAGGCCTGCACCGCCCGTGAACACTAAGCCTAAGAAGGAACGAGTCGCTGCAATTTTCTGATCGTGTCTACAACTGTACTCGCTCCAGCCCACAAGAAAACATCCTCGCGTCATATTTGCTCGTGGACACAGAGTTCTTGATAACATTGCTCGTTTGCATCTTACTCACGTTAGCAGATGGAGGCAACTAGACGCAACCGAGTCTGCCATTATTGAGCCAAGATACATGTAGTACTCTATCCAGGACATTGGATCACGTTGTCGCTCCCGATTATTGGCGAAAGATAGCTCAAACGATCACAGTACCAACGCTTGGTACATGTGTACTAGTACTAACGTTAGTATTTGTATTCCGGCAAAGGTCCAACCTAGACTCACACGGCCACGTCAAAATAACCCTACTAATGTTCGTAGATACAAGGAATAAACAAGTTGCCCTATTCCCTTGGTAGATACTACGTCTAATAGCTAGCATAACTTTAGCATCACAATCCCATCGAAAAACGTGGTGCATCGCATACCAATCCGGATACGCCTTTGCATTTACCGGATATCACAACGAGCAATCTCCGATCCATGACCGACACGATGGCTGCCCTTGCCGCCATCCCGAGCCCCAGCGCCGGGGCGGAGCCTCTACTAGAGCGCTCTTCTCTTCATGGTCTCTCTAGTGATCGTGATCTGAACCTCGCGCATGCGAAGGAGAGCGCGCGAGTGGCGCCAACCTCAGGCATGGCCCACGCCACGCTAGGTCACGCGCAGCTGGCCCTGCAGCAGTACCCGTCCGCAGTCCAGAGCTTCAAGAAGGCAATCGCGCTTGGGCTTGATGACCGTGCTACCCACGATGCGCTCAAGCAGGCGCGTATCGGCGTTCTTGATGCACTTGGGACGGCCGACGCCGCGGAGTGTCCTCGACCGCCGCCTGTCGTCGCAACACCGCCACCTCCCGCGCAGCCCTCTCCTGCGCGGGCTGGAGCTTTGGCACCAGGAAACTCGATGGCTTACGAGGTGGGCTGGCAATGTTTGCGCCTCTTTGGTCAGCACCTGCTGCGACAGTCGACGCCATTGCAGCTTGGGCTTCCGCTATTGTGTCTCGGCGTCGCATCGTGGCTCGTCCACAACTGGTGCGTCGCCCTTCTCGCCGTGTTCCTTGGCTATATTGCACTCTGGTTCCACTACAAGGTGCGCTGGCGGCGGCTTCACTGGCGCTTCTGGGTGCGGCTTCCATGGCTCGCGTATGCGCTACCGCTGCTTCTGCGGCTTCTCGGGCAGTACAAGCTCTTTGTACTTGTGCATACTGCATGGCCTGTCGCGTGCACCGTCGCAATGACTTGCGCGTTGACAACGTCGCCGCGAGTCCGCATGTGTCTTCTCCACGGCTCCGTCTTTCTCTACTACGTGGTGTGGGAACGAAACACGCACGACTTGGCTCGGTTTCTGGCGCCGCTGGCGCTCGACTCGGCCGGGTACTGCCTCGGCCAGGTGTCGACCGCCGACGTTCGGGTCGCTGCACAAGCCGCTGTCACTGCGACCGACGTTTCGTCAATCGATCTCACGGGAATGCAGGCGCTGTACTTTCTGCGATGGGCGCTCGACTATTGGCAGCAGCCAACGACGTTTACGTATACCGAACTCCTCGCGTCCGTCGTCGCGTCGCACGACGCTGCACTGCGATGGCTCCACCCGCAGCTTCGAGAGATTGCTACGGAGGTCGACACGACCACCTTGGCTGCGTACCTCCGTCTTGTGCTACAAGCGCTGCAACCGCCCAAAGCCGTTGCCATCGCTCGTACGTGCCGGTCTGCCACGCGTCGGCTCACTTGTGTGTAGTCACAATCTGTCGAGACGGCTCGAGTGTCCTACTGACGGCGCTTTTCCTGCTACGGGGTACGGTACCCATTGCGTTGGCTCCGTTTGCATATGCACAGTGGCCCGCCCTCGTCGAGCTACGAACGCTGTGGCGCGAAGGCAGTGCCGACTGCGACAGCCTCGACTGGATCCTTCTGCGCTCACCACTGCTTGGCGTCTGGACCAACGTCAAGGCCGGTGTGTACTGCCTCGAATGTGGCGCGCAGGCAGCACGGGCTGTAGCCGCGACAAGTGCCGCCGCGACGGTCGCTCTCAAGCTCCGGTATCGAGCCACCGTTTTGTTTGGAGATGCAACGCATCTGTAGGTCGCTGGTCGCAGCCGTCGGGAAAGCGCGTGCCGAGGGATGGAGCGCGCACTGGGATACCGTGACAGACTCGGTCTTCTCCATCTATGCGGCGAGGTAGGCAAGCTTCAATGCAAGCTTTTCAAACTTGGGATGTAGGGAGTCGGCGGCACATGTTTGGACGTACGTCTGGCAACGCGTATGCCACCAGCACCAATAGCCGTGGCGTTAACGACAGCCCATACAACCAGAAAAATGTGGGCCATCCGCGCACTGTTTCATCCCACAAAACCCGGACCATGGAAGTCAAAACTCTCAGTTCAATGCTCTTAATGAACCGAGTAAGACGAGTAAATAAAGCCTGTGCACGTAGCGCGCCCACGACCGTACCGAAGACGACGGATTGGTGTCATCGGCAGACAAAGTGCGTGCGAAGGCTCTCGATGAGGTCGCGGCACATGCGGACTTGCGCGCGAAGCTTGCGGTTCTCGCTTTGGGCGGCGACCATCTCTTCGCGCAGCGCGACAGCAGTCTCTCGCCACGTCAACATGGTGGTGTTGTCCTTCCTTCCTTGCAGTCGAGCGGTTGCCTGGGCTTCAAGAGACACGACGAGGGCTCGGAGTGCAAGGCGCTCGTCGGCTGTCGCCTTGCGGTAGATGCGCTGCATCTTGCGCTGGTAAGCGCTGCGAAAGCGGGGCTTGGACACGCGCGGTTTCGGGGGCATTTGTGTGAGTGACGTCGTCGCGACCACCATGACCGGACGCAGATGGTAGCGTGCCGCCTGGAATTTTGCTTACGTTTGGCGGTGCCACTGATGACTCGGCACATCTGACAGAGTGTTCATCGCATTCAAAACCCTCGTCCAAACGTTTGCTTGCACAGATGGCGACTCAAGACTCGTGCGAAGATAGCGCTGCACTTTGCAGCATGAAAGAGGCCCCAGTCGCAAGAACTGGAGACGCATTGTTCTCTGCTGCCGAGCCAATTTTGGAACCGAATGCTTTGCAGGGATCGAACGCCGCGCCTTTCTTGACGGCCTCGCACCACGTGGTATGCCAAGGCCGACCACGCGGTGCCAACAAATGGGTTATCGCCGCGCGGTACCTTTCCACCCCAGCGATCTTGGGCGTTCTTGTTTAGTTGATACATTCGTGAAAAGTCTCCATTATTGGTTGGCACGCCGCGTTGAACGAGCTGGATATCCCATCGTTTACGTAGACCACGGCGCGTCCTTTATGTTCAAGCCATTCCAAACGCCCAGCTAGCGTCGTTGTCTTATCTATTTTGAACGCGCGAAACGTGGTGTACGAGGGCTGCACGTGGGATGTAAGGCATGTATCCATCACACACAAGTCTTTTGGGTCAGCGTAGGACTCGGAAGGCTTCCGGCCTCAACATGCACCTTCCATCTTGTCGCTCGAGGCACGACGGGATTTACTGTCGCAATACGTTATTCCGTATTGCGTGTTCGCATCATCATACCCAGGCGTCTGAGCCCCGCACGTTTCCCACCGTAGCTCGACGACCACCGTATGACCACCGTATGATTGCATAGTACCGGTGCTCTGCCCAACGTCCGATATGGCCCGTGCTTGGATGCGTCGCGATTTCTTTGGTCCCGTCAAACTTGTTAACGTTCGATCGTGCTACTACGTCCCGGACGAAACCGTTTCGTGGCTTAGCAGGATGCAGCCTGTCCAGTTTTCGCGGCCCTTCGCTCTTGCAGCATGAAGCAGGCGTCGCTGCGCGATTACACGGTCGTCTTTGAGCAGGTAGAGTACGAGAACGATCTGTCTGCTGTTGATGCATCTTGGTGACTATTAGGAGCGACAGGCGCTCGTCAAGGACCTCGAGACGATGCGGATGCAGCTCGTGCGCAAGGACGAGCAGCACAAGAAAACGTCGGCGATCACGAGCCAGCAAACCGTCGCGCTCAAGAAGGAGGTTGCCGAGCTACTGAGCCAAAAAAGCCTCGTTGAAAAAGAGAGCGAACTCTACCAGCAAAAGTGCAAGGACCTCACGACGCTCCTTGAGACGTCGTACGACCAGCACGAAGAGGACCAGCTCAAAATCGTCAAGCTCACCGAGACGGTGCGCGGCTTGGATTATGCACGTAGCCACTTAGGTCATCCATGCGCTTGATGTAGATGAAGCGACTGAAAAAAAAGTTTGACGACGGGGTCGATATGGCCAAGAAGGAAGCCAACGTCTCGGTCATGAACTCGCACGAAGAGCGCAAGTCGCTCAAGGCCAACGCCGAGCGTCTGCGCTGCAAACTCAACGCCGAGCGGAAGGAGTGGCTCGACGCCAAACAAGCCCTCGGTGACCAGTGCGCCGAGCTCAAGACGCATGTCGAGTGCCTTGAGCGGGAGCTACGGGAAGCCCGCGTTCGGGAAAAATCCCACCGACTCCATACGGAACAAATGCAAGCCGAGCTTCGCCACATGAAGCACGACGCAGCGTCCGCGGCCCAAGAGCTCCAGATCCAAAAGCTCGCCATCGACAAGTACAAGGCCGAGATATGCCGCGTCGTCGAGGATACGCGGATCAAAGTCGAGTGCGACTCATCGATCGGCGAGCGTCTCTTGATGGCGCAAGAAGACAGTGTACTGTACCTTCGCAGTCGGTCGTCGACGCTCGGCGAGAACCGGCGTCTCCAGCAGCAACTTTTTACGCTGCACCAAAAATACGAACGGTATCGCCCATGTCTTCGACTCGTCGTTGCTCATGTGTGGTGGTAGGCAAATGCACAAGCACGACGAGGAGAAGGCGCAGGCAACGATGCTCTCGGAGGAGCTCACGGCATTCAAGCGCGAGTCGCGCCGGCTCTCGGTTGTCCAGCAGGACGAAGCGTCCAAGCAACTGAAGCTGCTCGAGATCGAGTACCAGAAACGAGTCCAGCAGCTCCAAATGGCATTCGAACATGAGAAACACCAAGTCGAGCACGAGGCGCATCGGCGATTGACGCTGCTTGAGGGCACCAAGACGTCCCAGTTGGAAGAGGCGCGTCAGCGCGAAGCGAGTGCGCTTCACGAGACACGCATGCAGCTCGAACAAGAAAAACAGAGTGCGCTCAACACCGTGCAGCAACTCTGCGAGACGACCCAAGCGCAATTGCACACGGCGACAAAAGAGGTACCTTTTGTATTGGAAGTTACATGAGATATGCAATGCGATTGGTGGCGTAGAAAGAAGTGCTGCACCTCGAGGTGCGGGAGCTCCAGCATGCGCTCGAGCAGCACCGTGAGAAGGAGCGCAAGCTCATCCAGATCATGGAGCACGCCCAGGTTCCATGCATTGGTTGTCGACGGCGTGCCATCATCTCATTCGAGTTTTGCAGAAACTCAACTCGAATTTGGAGGAAAAACTGCATGGCCAAGAATGCAAGTACTACGACGCCCAAAAACAGATTGATGACATGGCGTCCAGCATCAAGAGTCTCCATGCCACGGTAATTCCGTCCATGTCGACAAGCCATTGTCGAATTTATGGACTGGTGCTAGATTCAAAACCAGCGCGAACTCATGGAAGAGCTCGACCGGTCGCGGCAGACCAAGGTACGTCTCGCTATCGAGAAATACCTCGTGAAATATACATGTTTCGCAGACGGACGAGCACATTCAAGACATTTCGACGTTGGAAATGGAAAAAATGGAGTTTTTGCGCCAAGTGACGCAGCTCCAAGAGCAGCACTCGCAGGACCTCCTCGCGCTCGAGGTTCAAAAACGCAATCACGATATCACGGTCAAGCAGCTCTCGACGGCGCAGCTCAGCGCCAACCGCCTCATCGAGGTACTCAACGAGGCCGCAATGTCCATGTATTGATTGATGCGTGTATAGGAACAAGCCAAGACGATCGAAGACCTCTTGGAGACGCGGATGGCAGAGCCTTTGGCGGGGTTTTCGACCGTAGTGTACCCCGTGTTGCAACTTGCAACACGAGTCCTTGTCGTGTAGGGCATCTGCCACAATGTGCGCTGCGGCGAGCTCGCGGACGAGCTGCGGCGGCTGCAAGTCGCAGAGAGCGGCGACGGCGCATCGTACGCGACGCTACTCAAGCAAACCAACCACCAGCTGCAGGCGCTGGAGCGAGAGAAGCAGAAGCTCTTGCGAGTCATTGAAGACCAAGCGCTCACGATCCACGAGCTCACAATCCAAGACTCGCCCATCGACGACGACGACGACATTGGTGGACATGATGGACCCCACAGCGAGGACGACGGGCTTCGAAAGCCATGGAAGCTTAGCTCCGCGTCCCTCTCGCTGGACGTACGTTTGCTTGGATCCAAGGGAGAGTCCAATTTTGTTTTAGGACTTTTGAGCCGTCGCAAGCTGCCTGTTTGGAATAGAACTTTGTATCGTTGTGCTAACAAGTTTCGAGCCAACCCACCTCTCGTGCTGTGAGCTTTGCCACCGAACGCGTGGAAATTTTGTCGATTTGATTTGCATTTTGGAGTGGTTATTCCACGTGGCACGCCCTGGAGCCCACGTCACGACGACCACCCGTCGTCCGATCGTTCGCCTGTCGCGGGTGAAGCATCGTTCTCCCCATGCAGCTGTGGCTGCAACCGAATGCGCGCGGTCTCAGCCCGTTCGTTCGTTCGTGGCGCACCCAAGCACAGCAGCAGAGAGACAAGAAGAAATCACCCTTGGCTTCCTACCATATCACATCGACCAAGACATACTTGCTACATAATTGCATGTCCCTACTACGAGTCACATCTTGCCGCACAGAGGAATGCATCGTTGCCAGCTGCCACATCATCACAGGCCCGCGCCTGTGGCTGGAGCGTAACTCGCGCCCAGCCTTTAGCCACTCTAGTCCTTCTGCGAGGACAGTACAAGCCGCACTACCCTTCATCACGGACAACGTCAATTTGGCTAGCCAATCTCGCTTCTCACTGCCACATATCGAAGTCTTGATGGTCCGTTGCCGATCTGACGCTCTGGTGTGACGCGGCCGCCGTCCTCGCTCGTCCGGATAATAACCGGATTTGTATCCCACCGCGACTGATTGGCTATCTTTGGATGCAAAGTGGCTGTGTCACAAACCGCCGCACTTGCGCTCTCGCAGCATCGGTCGCACATGTGTCTTTGTCCTGGTTGCTTCTGCCCGCCGGCCGCCAAGCGGCTGCGCCACAACACGCGGCCGTGGACGGACCCGCTGCTGCTGACCAACCTCGTGTACGTTGCGGCGGCCGTCGTCTCGTACGCAGTGGGTCAGTACACGTGCGGCCTCCTCCAGCTCGGGTCTTCGATTGCGTCGACCATGTTCCACCGGTCCCGCGAGACCAAGTACCTTCCGCTGGACGCAATCATCTCGGGCACGCTCGGCATCATTGCAGCGTACGTGGCCGTGCTCGTTTGATGCGCTCATTTTCCATGTAGCTATGTCGTCTTGGACGCGATCGAGAACGAACTCCACCACGTGCTCGGGCTCAAGCTGCTGCATGGCGCGGGCTGCGCGTTCACGTGGATCTACTGCGGCATGCCGGGCGGCGTGCGCTACGAGACGTGGCACAAGCGCTGGCACTACGTCTCGGGCTACACGACGCTGTCGTGCTCGCTCCTCATGAGCGTGTACCACCCCGACTTTGACGCGATCGTGCTCAAGTGGCTCTTCCCGAACGGCGCACCGATGAACCTCGGCATGTAAACCACTGTAAAGTGAAGCTCTTTGAAAATACAGTGCATTTTGGCGGCTCCAGAGCGGACCCAACTACCTCGCAGTTTGCGCCCGAGTCGGCCCTGCCGTACTGTACGGTGCATTTATTCGGACCAAATGCGCCAGACAGCACAACCAAGGGCGTAAAATATCTCGAGTGCTCAACGATCTGTACCATGATAACGAAGGTCTCGTGGGCACGACACTCACGCACGCAAGAGTGACTAGGTTTCTCTGGCGTGCTTGCATCGATCTTGCTCCTTCACTTTACGGAAAATGCTTCGAAAGTGTATGAAGCGGTGAGCCGACTGCACTCTAACGTCGTTGAGAGGTTAGGGTGGTTGATCCATGCAAAAAATTGGGACGACTCAGCCTTTAGGTCTGGGAGGGTTTAGGCGTTTCAAGTGGCCTCGGTTTTGCCAAACATGCATTTGGTCGGGTGATGGGCCTGTCGAGCATGGGTGTGTCCACTCTCCCTTGCACAAATACGCGCCAACGATGGTGTAGAAAGCACCTCCGATTTCTTTCGCCTCCTCCTGCACGACCAGAGCGGCTACGTCCGGTCGCCCAAGAAGCGCAAGGCCGTAGCGTTGCACCCGCTGCCAGCGCCGCTGCCAGTGGCAAGTGCCGCAGACGACTACATTACAAGGAGCCCGCGTCGACTGCCGCGCCTCGTACGCTTTTTCATGCTATCGGTAGTTTCGAATTTGGCTTTGCGTAGGAGGCGCGCCTCTTGCAGCGACAGCGTGTCTTTCTCTACGAAGACGGCAGCGCCGAGCTGTGCACGGAAGAAATACTCCAGTACAACGAAGTCGACGCGCGGAAGACGCAGAAAGATCCGCTTGCACTGCTTTTGACCAAGAAGTGCGATGGCGCCGATGAGATTCCACTCATGCCGTGCCACGGCCGCGCCCATCGCCGGCATTTGCTGCAGGTTGCCGGCGGTGGACACTCAATCTTGAGATCGTCTGTAGGCTGAGCGGTGGCCCGAGCCCGTACGCGACCGCGACAAGCACTGGGCGCAAGACGAGCTGCCGACGATCCAAGCTCATGAGCCATACCGACAAATGCGGATGACAAGGTCCGTAACGACGCCGGGCAAGTGGCATCTGCAAGCACTCCACGTACGTACTTAGTATCGTCGTCTAAAGGTTGCTATTTGGGTGGCATCGCTAGCCCGAGCTCCTCTTGCTGTCGCGCCGGGGGATTCTCATCGACGCGTCGTACGTCATTGTCTCGGCGTGGGGCGCCGGAATCTATGGCCGCGTTTTTGGCATTGGACTGCAAAGCAAACGGTGCGGTAAATTGAGTTTGAGTTTGAACTTGATGTAAACTTGTGGTAGAGCCTTGGTCGTGCACGTGTACGACCCCGCACTTGGGATTACCCACCTTCTTTCCATCTCGATGGACGATCTCGAAGACCTCTTCGAAGACCACCGAGCGTACTTGACCGCCGGGCGCAAGGACGAGCTGCTGCAAGCCATCACGTCGATGCTCTTTTTCGAATATCCCACCCAAGGCCGGCCGATTCTGCACATCAACAAGCTCCTCAAGACGAGTGCGGTACGCTGCTCTATACATTCAAAGACTCTTTTGCCGGCATGCATTCCATATGGACCCCATTTGTAGTCGAAACTGCGCCGCATTGCGCGCGAGAAGCAACGACGCCTCGAAGAAGAAGAGCGGCGTCTTGCGGCACTCAAGTTTATGACCATGCCCCGCCGCGCCCGTTACCGTGTGCTCTGTACGAGCCAGAAGGTATGCACTTTCTAGTGTTTTTCCTGGTGCATGTCGAGCATTTATTCACGCAGATCAGCTCTTTTCTCTGCAACATATCGGTCCACCATTATCCGCACCAAGCACGGAACTTTCACATCGTCGCGACCCACCCCCCGTCGTCAGCTGAGTACGCCTCCTTTTGTGATCTCGGGTCAAATGCACGGCTTGGCGGCTAGGTTTCATCTGCCCCTCGGGCTCTTATACGCTGGAAAAGCCGCCAACAATTCGAGCGCTCCACACACGTGGACGCCCGCGATCAAGACTGCAATCGCCCGTGCTGTCGTCCGCCAAGTACACTCCGTCGTTGCTTAGTCGTGTGCCATATTGGCCCAAATGCTAGCTCTGCCTCGTCCGCAACAATGCCGGCGAAATGGCGCTTGCTGTCGCGGGCCGCGTCGGGTACTACAGCAAGGGCATTCACCTCGACGAGCCACAGACGCCAGAGTCCGTCGCACGCCAAAGTTACCTCCAGTCGATCCAGATCACGGTCCAAGCACTGCAGCAAGCAGCTTACGACGAGGTGAGCACTCGCGGTGACGGGCCTTTGAACCATTCTTCATCATGGCTAGCGCACTGCTATTACGGAGGCTCACCAAGCGCAGTACGCTGCGTTGGAGCGCGACGTCCGGCTTCTGGAAGCCAGTCGGTCCGAGCTGGAAGCCAAAGAAGCGGCGATCAAGGACGCTCTGGACGAGATTGAAGCCATAGGACTGGGAGACGTGGACGGTCTCGATAAAGACCAGCGCCATGCAGCGCGGCAACGCGTGCGCGAACGCCGCGCCGACGTCAAGAAAGATCGCAGCGAGACACTTGTGGAGCTCAAGCGGGTCCAAAGTTTACTCACGGCCTTGCTGTCACAGATGCAAGCGGCCACAGCGGACACGACAGCGCGCCTTCACGAGTCAGCGTTGCGCTTTGCGACTCGGATCGAAGCGCTCAAGCTCGAGGCAGTGACGCCGCCCCCGTACGTCGACTTGCGCGTGGGCGACAAGCGGTACGCGTTACATGCGACCCAGTCGCGCCGGCCACGCGCCTTCTTGGGCATGACGAACCAAGTGCGCCAAGGTGCGGCGGCGATTCAGGGTCAGCGTGTGCGGTACAGCGTTGCCTTTGGTGACGACCGAAGTATGGAGCTCACGGCCTATGTCCCCGCGACGTCGACTACGGTACACTGCCGTATTGGACAGGGTTTGTCCATACTAGACGATGCTAGATGCGGTTTGCGTGCTCGCTGCCCACGTGGTGCATTCTCACGAAAGAAAGCGTCCGCTCCAAAAAGGCCCGTCACGAGATGCAAGTGGCTGTGCCCGGACTCATTCAGCACCCTGGCAATGCCCTGCCGCCGTCGTCCGAAGAAGTCGAGCTCGACGCGCTCAACGCAGCCATTGCAACGTCACTGGACGAGTGGCGGACGTCGCGTACACCGACGACCTACGACGAGCTGCAGCAGCTGCACGCTCGCCGACGAGAACTCAGCAAAGAGTCGCAGCGCTGCGTGCACCACCTCGTGACCGCGCTATGCGAGCGTCTGCGTTTTCAGTTGTCGAGTGCTCTGGCGTTGGACAACATAATCTTCACGATGGACCCTTACGTCCTCGTTGCCAGCGACGAAGTCGACCGACCGGGCATCTGCACCGTGCGCATTGAGCCCAACCACAACGTCGTGTTTGCCGTCGACTTGATGAACGGCAGCCAGTACGAAAAGGCACACCCGTATACACAAGAGCTCGTGCTCGAGCTCGCGAGCGAGTCGGCCCAAGAAATGCATGTCCACCTCGACTTGATTGCGAGCTCCATGCAACTCGTGCGCCGCGACGACACGCTCGTTGACGAGCTCGAGTTCTTGGATTGACTTGAAATATACATGCGACTGCTACGCTCTGCACTCGTCCCAGTACAACATGAAGCACACCCCTCGTAGTTCAGCGTTTACGCTAGGACCGGTGGAAAAAATGCTACAAACCGCTACCAGTTGGTGTGATAGCATGGAGGACAGTATTGAGTTGTCCACAAAATGACACTTTGCGGTCGCGGGCGAGAAAACGTTTCCAGCTGCCCTTCGTTTGAAAAAAGGTCGCGTGCCCCGACGCTACGCCACGAAAAAAGATACCTCGGCTACTTCTGTCTCGACATTGCCGGCCTTTCCGAGTGGCTGAATGCACGCAACTTTTGAATCGCTGGCGACAAGTCGACGCCTCGTGGTCGGCGCGTCATTACGTCTATGTAATACCCGTGCTCTCTTTTATTAGTGGATTCGCCTGCGAGCGCGGTGCATACGCTCTGTGCACGAACGTCACGCGCTTCGAAGCGTCAAGTGGCGTGTTTTCGCACGCCGCGGTTTTGATTGGCGGGTGACCGCCGTGCGCCATCTGTTTGGCACCAGTTGATTCATCAACCGACGGGGGCGCTCTCTTACGCAGCAGTAAAATTTGACGAGCGGCTTGTGCACCATGCTCCCGTCGCCGACGCTCTACGATCCGTCGTCGATCGTGGTCTTCACGGCGTGCGCGCTGGGCTTCTTCAGCCTCCTCTCGCTTCTCACGGCGACAACGCCGCCGGTACCCACCGAGTTTGTCGACCGCAAGCGCGGTGTCTCCATCTCCGCGTCCGTGTCCTATCGCGGTGACGAGCCAGCGAATCCTCGCACGCGCCGCGTCTCGGTGGCCGCGTCCGTGTCCTACGGTGCGGACGACGCCGCACCGCGCGCGCGTCGGGTCTCGGTCGCTGCCTCGGTCTCGACGGGCGCCCACACCATGACCGAGTCGACGTTCGAGCTTGGGCCCGAGGACGCAGTGCCATCGTCCAAGCACGCCAACATGCCGTGCAGTACGTGCCAGCACGTACCGGTTGTCTATATGCTGCCGATCGTGCTGCCGTGCGCATGCCACACGTACGTCGGTCCGCAGATCCTTCCGCCGACCTGCTGCGTCCACTTCCCCCACTGCCACTGCGCCGCGACGGTGCCGCGCAAACTGCATCAGCTGCCGTCATCTCCGATTGCGGCGCCGGCGCCAACCGCCATGTCGGTGCCGCCCGAGTACCTCTCGCGCCGCCTCGAAGACTACCCGATGGCGATTCCGACGGAAAAAGCAATCGATCAGAAGGCCGATGTCTTCAAGCCGACGCCGCTAACTGTCCCCGAGCTCATTCCGCTGCCGTCGGCGGCGCCCATTGAGCTTAGCGTGACACGACCGCGTCGCGACCGGAGTTTGTTTCGCGCGCGGCTCTGGATTGGCAAGGCGTTTGAGCACGAAGATGGCTCGGACGACGCCGTGTACGTCATGCGCGTCGACTGCCGGACCGCCGACGACGCCAATGTGCTCTCGCCCACGAGCATGTGGGACGTCACCGTGACGTACCAAGAATTTGAGCGCCTCTACCAAGCGCTCATTGACGAAGTCGACGGCGAGCCGCTAGCAATTCCAGCGCTCGAGCTCTCGACGCTGGACGAAGAGGATTTGTGGCACCGCCGCCGCACGGCTTTGCAGACCTTTGTCGACGCGCTCACGTCCAACAAGCGGCTCGCGAATGCCGATTGTCTGCGCAAATTGTGCCAAATGTGGTAAACGCGTACCAATGATTCTTGTCAACAGAGCGTCTCGCTTCTAGTTCTGGCGTTAGGTCTGGGGGTTAAAAGGATGCGGAGGAAGCATAGCCGAGGGTTGTCGCCCAAAGCGAGGCAGCATGGACTCAACTCGGATAAGCGTCAAACTTGTGTTTTGGGCCGTGTCCACCGCCCCGAATCATGCAATTCAAAGAGCAAACATTCCACTTTGACGTCAATAGATATCATCTACTGGCGCTGGGCATACCATGCTTGGACCTTGGGAAGCACTGCAACGGCGTCCGCGATCGCGTTCCAGCGCGGGTACTTGTCGCAGATCGTCGTCGGAATACCGTCCATGTGCCTCGAGCGCATGCTGAGGCGCATGACAAAGAGCTCAATGTCGGCGAGCGACAGCGTCTCGCCCAAGAGAAACGGGCCCTTGGCGTTGGCAGCGACAAGCCGCGCTTCCAGACACGCGTACAAGGTCGGCAGCGTCTCGGCCGCGAGCGCCTTGCGCATCGCGAGCTTCTTCTCCATGTCCCGCTCAAAGAGCGACGGAATGAGTTTGTTGACAATGTCGTCGGACGCGGCGAGGACTTCATCAACGCGATAGGCGCCCAGTGGATCAGACATTGGGTAGAGACCGGTGAGGTGGCCGACATACCGCGCCATGCCGTGCGACTGCGCAAAGACTTCGCCGTCGACAGTGAGCGTCGGAAGCTGCTGGAACGGCAGCGATGGCTTGCGCGCCATAAACTCGTTGTAGCTGATGCGCTCGTCCTCGAACGGAATGTCGTGGAGGAAGAGCGCAAGGCGCGTGAGCTCGGCGCGGCCTGGCGCGTTAAAGTAGGTAAGCTTGAGCGTTGGGTGGGGCATTGGCAAAGCGAGAGTGAAGTGATCGAAAAAGGTGAGTGTGCGCCAATGTGATTGGCTGAAAAACGATCTTTCTCGCGATGCCATTGGCGCGAAAGTGCGAACGCTTTGCACCAATTGAGTACCAAGTCGTTCGCCGGCCAAGAATGGGGCTTCTGTACTTCGAGTGTACGTACTGTACGCCGTGCCTGGCCAACGTTTGTGGCCTGCGTGGCCATGCACGAGCCTGGCGCGGCGTGGGACAACCGTTCGATTTCGCGTTCGGATGCGGCACAACCGTTGGTAATCGTTGAGGTTGCGGTTGAGAATTCGGTTGACGTTCGCGCCAACGCATCCTGTCGACGCGTGATTCCATGGTCGCCTGATTGTGGCCAAGGTGACGTGGTCGTCCATGAACGGTGGTGCTCAAACATGCCTCAGTCTCGCAACAGAGTCCGATTTCATTGCTTTATCGTACCATTACAAGGCGAGGACGAACCAAATACCACAGAAGTCTGCGGTACTACCATTATGAACCATGCCTTGCCCATGGCCGCCGTCGGACTTGATCGCTCGATCGCGCCGAAGTCGGCACTGTTCGACGTCGCCTTGCGTACACGTCCAAGCAGGTGGTTTGACATGTGATCACAGCCCACCACACGCCGCGTCAACGCAAAGATCGCGCCCCGTCCGAAAGGTCACGACGTGATCACTCAATCAACGGCGATCGCTCATCGTCAGCGGCGCGCGCCATTCCAGTTGTCACTTTTGATTTCACCACCAACGACTCAACAACCATGACCTTTCCCACATTGAAGCTCACGTACTTCGACATGACTGGCCGCGCCGAGCTCGTGCGCCTGGCGCTGCACGCGGGTGGCATCCCGTTCGAGGACGAGCGCCTTACGCGCGAACAGTTTGGCGCGGTCAAGCCGACGCTGCCGTTCAAGCAGGTGCCGACGCTCACGGTCGACGGCGTCGTCATGGCCCAGTCGCATGCGATGGCGCGCTACGCCGGCCGCCTCTCGGGCCTCTACCCGACCGAAGCGCTCGAGGCGTTCCGTGTCGACGAGCTTCTCGCGGCCTCGGACGACACGCTCGCCAAGCTCATGCCGTCGTTCCGCGAACAAGACCCGGCCAAGCGTCTCGCACTCCGCGAAGAAGCCGC